TATTTTGTATTTTGCAATATTGATGTGGTAATATCGTAAACAAGTGGATGCTTTCATATATTTTTTTAATCAAATAGCGTGATGTAACATAGCATTTCATTAAATAAAATAATATGTTATTTGTTAAACACTTGAAAAATTATGTTATTTGTAAAAATGACGCGCAAATTAGTATTCATTATTTACAATTTTTGCTAATACGTTATTTTTGCAAATATGCTCTAAAGTTATGCTATTGGGTTCAAATATTTTTAAATGACTAAAACGTCATACTAAACAATGACAAAAAATCGCTTAAATTATAGAAAAATTATGTTTTATAATACGTAATGGACATCTAATCCGTTATTTAACACAGAATACATGTAATGCTACATGATTCACTTAAGTTAAATTACGCCAAGTGATTCGTCCAAATTTTAATGACAATATTTAATCCAAACACAAATTTAAAGGAAACCAATCTTCAACTATCCACATAGAAAATCAATGTATAGAAACTGCAAAAGAACTCTCCATCTAATTAATAATCCGCAATATAACTCTCAATCTTAAAATGTGTGTGTTTTTGAGAAATTCAACATGGTGTCGTTTTGGAAACAAATTTATGAGTACTATAGTTGCTAATATTAAACCGTTTAGGTATCTAAGAAAATGATCGTTGCGGAGAAACATTGATCAATAAGTTAACAAAAATACATTTCAATATGTAAACGTAGACTAAAAAGAATTATATACTGTAACAATAGCTGCTCCACCTTTTCCCTTTTTTGGGGGCAATGGTAATAAATTGAACATTGGTCGAAAAATATTCAATCCGATGATTTATTTGTCAACTCCGAATTTTACTAGGATTAAAAATTCCGTCAATCTTATTTTATTATTATCCCAACCAAATATACAACAATTCGAATATAGTCAAATTCGTTTAAGAAGACTGTTTGGACTTTACTTTTAAAATCCATTGGGAATTATTGGAAAAAAGAACGTATGATGGTGGTTCTTTTGGATACTAGTAATAGGCTAATAGCTAATGACAAAATTAACGGTTGATTTGTAGCCATAAAGACCACAAAGGTCAAATCGTGAACAGTCCAACAACACAAATCGCTTAGAATCAACGAGCACATTTAAAATTATTTGATATATTTCAATGTAAAGTAAGAAAATAGATAAACTCTTTTATAAATTATATCTAAAAAGCATGGGCTCAACAACGTCAACTCAGCGTATTCTCTTGGTTTTCTGCGTACATCTTACTAACATATTTAAATTCCATTAGAGAATAAACATACATACCGGGAAAAAATTTTAGTGCTTACAAATTAATCATATACAATCTATCTCATATTTTCCCACCTTCTCAGCTCTGAGATTGGTATACTCACTAACACTCGTGTAATATTTAGAATTGAAATTCAATGTCGATTAGATAATCAATATAGTATATTAATATTTTGTACATATATTTACATATACTGATTATCTAGATTTTATTTAGCAGAACAACCTAAATATCACGCAAACATCTATATACTATATGTCTATATAATTATTATTTTTTAATAGAAAAACATTAGCCTATAATGATATATATATATATATATTAATAGAAAAAGGTAAGGTCAAAGATCATTGGTAACTCAACATCACACTGTATCACAGAGCATCTCAAGTTTTAGCATTGTTCAATGATTTTATTCAAACAATATACGACGATCATTTTTAGTTTCAAAAAGCATCTTCTAATAGTATATAGTTTTTTTGTGTGCTAAATAGTATTCTTTTTTTTTTTTTGTCAACAAATAGTATTCATATATAGTTTCATGATTTATGAGGTGATGGAATCATATTAGGCAATTATTGGCTTTTATGTTTAATAAAAAGTAATTGGGTGATGCAAAGCCATAGTCCTTTGAATCGAAACCAAAGCAAATGCCAATAGTTTTGAACTTTGTCTAATAAAGCCCATAAAATAGCTTTTTAGGACATCATTTCTACACTAACATGAAAAAATAGTTAAAAAACCAAAACATTTGTCCAAACATAGCTACTTAGTCATTAACAAAAACAAGAAGCTATTTTAGTTACGTTTAATTAGAGGACTGTTCGAATTGTATACTACTTTTGAGGAGAAGATTCATTTTTCATCAAATGTTTAGATCCCTAATTAATATAAAAATAAACAGACAATAACTTGACGATTAAAAAAATCATCATTGGTTATATTATAGATCATTTTCTTTTTTTTGCTAAATGAATTATAGATCATTTTCCCTTCTCACTTTCTGTTCATAATACACCTTTTCTTCTACAACATTCTCCTGAAAAATAGTTACATTCAATTTATTTTAAAAAGCAGACCACTTAAAGAATTCAAGAAAGCCTATATATACATGGAATCTTGTTTTTTGAAGAATCTTGAATGCATGTCACGTAACTCTCTTCTCCTTCTCTATTAAGAAAGCCTCTTTCTCCTTCTCTCCC